TCCCCCCCAGTGTTCCCACCTACGATGAGGTGGATGTGATTATTCTTCGGCGGGGGCTCTTCGAAGTCCTCGTCGTCGCTGAGCCTACCAATCTCCCGCTTTTTCGCAGAGGGTTCGCCCCCATGTTTGCCGGTGTTTACCCAAGTGTTCTTGCGCGGGCCACCTTTGACAAACTGGGAGAGTTCCCCCTGGCGAATAAGGCGCTCGATGGCCTTCTTCAGTGTGATGCAATCGTCGGTGTTGTGTGACGAGTTCTTGTGGAACCGGCAGTATGTGCCGCCCTGCTGGATGGCAAGGACCTCCTCGGTCGGCCGAGGAGCCTGCTCGATGAGGCCGTGCTTCTCGGCATAATCGAGGATGGTGCCGACCGGGTGGGTGAGGGTTACCCCCGGCCGTTCCAGCCTCGGCCGCCAGTGGCGATCCTTCTTACTCTGTCCACCAGAGCCGTGACGGCCCTGGGCACCCTGGCCGGCCGGGGGCGGACCCGGGGCCGGCGAAGGATTTGTCTTCTTGGAGGGATGGCCCCCCTCTCTCTTGTGATTGTGGAGCTCGTCGGCGTCGGCATACAAGCCTCCGCGCTGGAGCGCCTTGGTGTACGACCTTGGGGGGTCGGTGATGAGGCTCCTAGCGTACAGGGAGCTGCGGAGGGCTCCCTGATACAAGGCGAGGAGGGTGCGCTCATCGGCCCCCTCGACCTCCTCGGTTTCCCTCGTCCACCGATCAATGAAGGACCGGAGGGACTCCTCGTGCTGCTGTTTGACGGAGAGGAGGTGGGTGAAATACTTCTTCGCGCGCTTCCTCCCGGCAAAGTGAGTGAGGAAGCGCTGGGCGAGATCCTGCCATGAGTCGATGCTTCCTTCTGGGAGCCCGTTGAACCACTCGTACGCTGGCCCCTCGAGAGTAGAGAGGAACCAACGGCAGAGGTATTCGTCGGACGCGTTCACCATCAGCATGTTGTTCTGGTAACGGCTGAAGTGCTCCTGGGGGTCTGATCGGCCATCGTAGGACTTGATGGCGTTGCCCCTGTACTTCTCAGGGATGGGGGCCGAGAGGACCCTGTTGGTGAATGGGGTCCTGGTCCTGACCTGGATGATGGGGTCACCTCGCCCTTCGGCCAGCTCCCTCTCCAGGGCGCTAACTTTGTTCATGAGCGCGTTGAGGCCGGGGTCGTTGGAGGCGCCGGCCGTATGGATGTTGGCCGACTGCTTGGCCTCCATCTGAGCCAGCCTCCTTTCCAGCTGGGCGATGACCTCGTCCCGGGGGTCCCTGTCGGCCGCGGCGGCGCCCGGCTGGTTCCTCAGGCGCTCGTTGTGAGCCGCGTTGATCTGGTGACGCACGTCATCCTCGTGCAACTTCCCCTTGCCCTTGTCCGGGAGGGGCTGGTCCGCTGTCCGGGACATAGACCCCAAGCTTTCCCTTGGCGAGCCAGGACGAGGATCACCAATCCGTCCCGCCATCCTCTCCGAAACCGGACGACGGCGCGTGTCACCTAGCCTGTTGAAGGCAGAGGCTTTTCCACGCGCTGGGGTCTGCCCGAGCCGAAGAGGGGAAGCAGGGTGGGAGTGGGACGACGACGTGTCCTGGGCCATTACCCCCTCATCGTTGCCTATCCGGACGGCCAACGGTTGGGGATGAGGAGGTGGAGTGACGTTTCCCCCGGTCCTTGGCAAGAGTGCGCTGAGGACGGTGGGGTTCTGAGCCAGGCTGGCGATGATGACCGACAGCGCGGCCTGGACCTGTGGATCCACGGACGGAGAGGCCGCGGCCATAGGCTGGGCCGGGGCGTGGTCCGCCTTCTCAGCTCGTTTCTTGTCCAGGCCGAGGCGGGCGTCGGGGACTCCGCCGTTGAGTTGGTTGCGGAGGTCCGTCGTGAGGTTGAAGGCCTCCTGGAAGAGGTCCTCTCCGCCGCTTGGTCGGCCGTGGCGTCCTCCTCGTGCTCCCTGGGCTCTTGGTCCTCAGGGATGACTTTGCTGATGAGGTTGCGGTTTGACTTAGTTCTCCCCATGATCAGTGGTTAGCTGTGCTTGGTAGCGACGAAGGGTGCTAACTTGATTGTTCTAGCTCTTAACGAGAGCACCAAATGATAGAGTATATCTCTAGAGAGAAGTGAGAGCTAGAGAGAGAAGTAGTATATTTGCCTGATATTAATGAATTCTGAACCCCTACAACTACTCCCAAGGGGAGTATTTATAGAGAAAATACGGGCTGGGCTCCCAAGCCTTGGGCTTGGGAGGCCCATTTACAACTGGACCGCTACTGGGCCGAATACAAAGCCACTAATGGGCTGTACAAATGAATAAGTATAAAATCCGGTTCTGGGAGGTCCTCGTGGCCGACGAGGGCGTGGCCGACGAGGGCACGGCCGACGAGGGCACTCGGGTTCCTTGGGCTCAGGACCATAATCTGTGTTGACCCCCTTTCGGCCGACGGGGGCGTCATGGCCGACGAGGGCGCCACTTTGTTGTCTTATGCTTTCTGTTCTTCCGAGTATGTGGGTCCGGGGGCTCAGACCCATATACTCCATCAATATTATTTTTGAATAATTACTTTGGGGGCTTGTATGCCGAGTTATGCCAAGTGTGGCTTGAACAATTGTATTTATGCTTCCGCTGTTTTAAATGAATGATTTACATTATGTTTGTTTATGGATTTACTATGTGTGAATGATATTCATGACGCCTTGTATAGTATGGATGAGTCGGATTGCGGTTGACTATTCGTACTATACGGCGGGTTGTTGACGTGTCCGGCTAGACCCGAGGCGTGACAATAGAAGTGTAAAGACAATTATGCTTGGATATGAAGAAGGAACAAAGGGGTATAGACTGTTAGAACCACAAAAAACAAAAGATCATAATCAGTAGAGATGTTGTATTTGAGGAAGATCAGAACTGGCCATGGCATACAAATCAGGAGAAAGATACATCAGAAGGGTGGGAGACTTTTATTGTGAATACAGGAACTTCAAGGGAAGATCACAATACAGATTTTTCAGACTCAAGTAGAACAGATATGTCACCACATAGCTCACCACCAAGCTCACCAAGTACAGGTTCTGATTCCAGTAGTGATCATCACAAATACAGAACATTACAAGACATTTATGACTCAACCAGAGAAATAGAAGAGGAAGTTGGGCTATGTTTTCTGACCTTTGATGAACCTGGGAGTTATGAAGAAGCATCAGAAGATAAGAACTGGAAGGAGGCAATGAAGCAAGAGATTCTCTCAATTGAGAAAAACAAAACCTGGGAGCTCACAGATATACCTCAAAATCAGAGAGCTATTGGGCTTAAATGGGTGTTTAAGCTTAAGAAGAATCCAGAAGGAGACATAGTGAAGTACAAAGCGAGACTTGTGGCAAAGGGTTATGCTCAGAAACATGGAATAAACTATCAGGAAGTGTTTGCACCTGTGGCAAGGTTGGAAACAGTTAGAACTATTCTGGCTTTTGCTGCTCAAAAGGGTTGGGAAGCACATCACATGGATGTGAAGACAGCCTTTTTGAATGGTGACTTGGAGGAAGATGTATATGTAGTGCAACCAGAAGGTTTTATAGACAAAGAGCATCCAAATAAGGTTTTTAAACTTCACAAAGCTTTATATGGACTAAAGCAGGCGCCAAGAACATGGAACATCAAGCTGGACAAGTGTCTAAAGTCCCTCAGTTTTGAAAGATGTCCTTATGAGCATGCAGTCTATATTCATCACGTTAAGGAGCATGTTATGATTGTGGGAGTGTATGTTGATGATTTGATAGTAACTGGTTCAAGTGGTGAGATTATTCATATCTTCAAACTTGAGATGCAAAAGAGGTTTGAGATGAGTGATCTTGGCTTATTGAGTTACTACCTTGGCATAGAAGTGGAACAAAGACATGACCATATTAGCATATGTCAAACTGGATATGCTAAAAGGATACTTAAAAAACTTGGGATGTCAGATTGTAACCCATGATATGTTCCTATGGAGCCAAGGAAGAAGCTGAGTAAACAAGAGGGTGAACCAATGTCAGATCCAACATTGTATAGAAGCATCATAGGTAGCCTGAGATACCTAGTCAACACACGTCCAGATTTAGCATACTCAGTTGGGGTAGTAAGCAGATACATGGCAGCTCCAACCACAATTCATATGGAAGCAGTTAAGCAGATCTTGAGATACATCAGAGGAACACTAAATCTGGGCTGTGTGTATAAGAAGAACAAAACAGAAGAATGATTGTATGGGTACAGTGATAGTGACCTAGCTGGAGATGTTGATGATAGGAAAAGTACTACGGGTATTATGTATTTTCATAGTGGGAATCCTATCACCTGGGTGTCACAAAAACAAAGGATAGTAGCATTGTCCTCGTGTGAAGCAGAGTATATTGCATCCACTGCAGGAGTCTGTCAAGGAATATGGCTTTCAAGGTTGATCAAGAGTCTGCAGTCGTGTGAAGAAAAGCCAACATTGTTTGTGGACAACAAATCAGCAATAGCCCTAGCTAAAAACCCAGTGTATCATGAGAAGAGCAAGCATATTGACACAAGGTATCACTTCATACGAGAGTGCATTGAAAATAATGATATTTGTTTGGAATATGTAAGAACTGAAGCACAGTTAGCTGATATTCTAACAAAGTCCCTTTCAAAACAAAGTTTCATTGAGCTGCGGGAGAGAATTGGACTGAAGATTATCAAGTGAAGAAGCAAAGTTTAAGGGAGTGAATGTGGGGTTAAACTTTGTGTGACGTGTCATTTCATACGTGGATTCTATCATTTTAGTTTTATCTTTATGTTGTAATGGGTTGCATGCATGTTTACGTAGTGGGTTAGTGATGTAGTGGGTGAGTTGTGGGAGTTGTAACTGCATCTGCATGTTTGTTTGTTTCTATAAATGAAAAAAACGATGAATCAAAGTGATTGGCTTTGAGCACCACAAAAAAAAGAAAACACATGTGTCAAACAAGTATATACTTTCATACATGATCAACGTATGAATCTAAATAACTATAGCTTGAACTCCAACAAATATGATAGGGGCTTTGGTGAATTTGGTGCATCAAACCCACCTTACTACCTTAGTAATAATAATACTAGTAAAAAAAGAAACATGAAGCGGCATTCTTTTAAATTACTTGAAAAAAAAGCTGCGCACAACTAAGAAATAAAATGATCGAGCTCGATCGTCAGCTAGCAGGCCGGATAGGGTTGATAGAAGGGTTGATCGGCAGGGTCTATGAGGAGGAGCGGCACATGAGGTGATCGGTCGAAGAACCAATCCAATAGCGCGCTTCCGAAAGGTTCAGAATTCCTGTCGGCGAACATGGGCCCTTTGTAACCTTGTGGAGAAGATGTTCCCAGGCTGTGGCCGTAGATGGACGTAATCAAATACCCGTTCTTGCATTGGTGTCGCTTGCGGTGGCCGGCAGGGGGCAATGCTCCAATGATCTGGTGCCTGAAGTCTTGGAGCAAAGCCATATCACTTTTGCTAACCGTGTGGTTTTTAACTTGCTCGTACAAGTCCTCCCCGAACGTGCATTACATCTGAAAGGAATCAAACGCAGGATTCAGAATGAAGATTGGGGACTTGATATAATTGAGCAGAGTCTTGGGGAAGAAACAGTCCACCGCGCTTGAGGACTTGGTGCACTTGGAGGGCAGCGCCTTGTGTGGATGGTGCAGCGCGACGACCGTGCTGAAAACCGTGTCGAAGAACTTTGCTCTCAAGGGATCCTGGACGCGGAGAAAGAGTGAACTATCAGCCAGGCACTTCACCCTCACATTGTGCTTGTAGAAGAGGCGCACAAAGCGATCGCAGTGTATCATCACTCCCAATCCCCCCGCCAAAAGAATGTTGCTGCCCTTTCTCATCCCTTCTGCCCTCATCAGCTCCTTCACCACAGCTCGGAAGATCCTTGCTCCTCTGTAGTACAGGTTAGTAACCGGGTCGGGTTTGTCCGCATCCCCCGCAAATGACCCACCATCGCAGTACCTCACGACGACTCTATTCCAGTTATGGAAGTAACTTACATTGGGGTGATCGTCAAATAACTCGTTGAACTCCCAAGACTTCATGGCGTGGGAAGAACCAAGGGCGCCACGTGACCGTTCTGCACAACTCTGAACAGTACTGTTATCATCTTTTGTGTGATATATGCCGCTGCTGTTCAAGCACCAGCCTGCCCCTTGCAGGTAAACCAGCCAACTCTTTGCACCTTCGCCACTGCCCGCTTTCAGATGGTATGCTGGGGGGCTTCCGTCCAGACAAACAGCCCCTTTACTCACCGCACTCTCAATGATGGTAGTTGGAACCTCCACGCTGCGGCATATCCCCACACACAATATAGTAATAAAACCTGCCAATTTGTTAAAAGGGCTACTGCTTTTTGCATGAGCTGCCATATCCTCACTGCACCGGCCTCTTCCTTACGTTTATACCAATCTGAACTCTTCTTTTCCTAGCTTTAATTTTCTCTCTTCACTCAAATGATACAACTTTTCTTTTACTCTCCGGCTCTGCTAGCTATTTATAATAGAGTGCGTAATGAAAAGGTAGAGATTTTATTCGCACAACTTCACACCCCCAACTCAAAAACTTTTAAAAAACCCATCACTATAGTAATGAAAAGGTAGAGAATTTAAAGCAATTCAATAATGGTTTGCTTTGGGAACAATTAAGTTCTAATTAATAGTACTCCAAACCCATTCCACCGATGTCAAAAAAGTCAATCCTCCATTCCAATTTGCTTATGCGCAATGCTTCAAGTCCGTCACCTTTCTAAAAATTAACACCGCAACTTCACCCATCACATTGCCGTATTGCATACCAAAAGAAGACTGCACATTAAAAATATGTTACACAAAAGAATGGTAACACGCTCTGCTTCAGCATGTTTATGATATTGAATAAGTTTTTATCCTAAATAGGACTAAAACATGATTAAAATTCCAAAATAGGAATACAAGTTTTATATTTCACAAATAGGACTCCAGATTATCTTATTACCCTTCTTCTAAAAATAATCGATCGACTCTCCATGAACCGCCAGACTTCTCCCATGCCACTTTCCCTTTGGCCGATCGCACCTTCGATCTCCATTATCAACGGCTTTATCGGCGTCATCTGCTCTCTGCTCTCCCAGGTACTCTTCTTTCTTTTCTTCCTCCTCTTCTTCTTTTTCTTCTTCTAATTCTTCTGATCTTCATCTTCTTCGTGTAGCCTTGTTCCTGATTCTCTGCTTTCTTTTTAAACAAAATTTTATCAATCAAATTTGAAAAAGTATTGCATGAATGTGAAAGTTTCCAATGAAGATATACTTGACTAGAATTTCTTCTTATCAATTTTGATATATTTCAATCTCAAAATGTCTTGAGTAATGATTTTGAAGAATGTGTCACTTTTTAATCAAGAATGTCATATTTACTGGTTATTTTTTAAAAAATGACACTTTTATGTCATTCAAGTCTGTGCAGCCTCCAATGAGAATGCCACTTGATATGAATAAATGACGATAATGACATTATCTTATGAACATATGTCATTTTCAGATTGTCATCCTGATAAATGTACTGCTACAAACATGACAGTTTTTTCAAATACTACTAATACTTTTGACATTCTCAGATTATAAAAGTGACATTTTGCTTATGAAGTAAAATTCAAATCCAAAAAATCCAAATTAGCAAATAAAATTCAAATCCAAAGAAGAAAAAGAAGAAGAGAATAGGGGACCAGAAAATTGAAGAGGATTAGAAGATGAAGAAGAAGAAGAAGAAGAAGAAGAAGAAGAAGACCAGAAATTTGAAGAAGAAGAAGAAGAGGAAGAGGAAGAAGCAGAGGACTTACCTGGTTGCCTATGCGATGGGAGGCCAGAGTCGATGACGAGCTCAGATCCATGGGAAAAAGAGATGTTTGCGATGAATTGCAGAAGATGGCAACGACTGCGCAATGTTACGACACCGGAGGCTATTTCCGTCCAAATGCAAATATTTACTCCTATTTAGAGAATTTAAAACAATGAGTCCTAGTTTTGCAATTACCTCCTGTTTTACTCCCATTTTGACGATTTTCTCATATTGAATGAATGTAGTGACCGAGTCATAAACAAAGTTTATTAGGGGTTCAAACTTAAGCAAGCATGCATGTACACTATCAAAGAATATCTGAACCAAATAATTCATACGTAACTTAGGGTAAGAAATAATTACATAAATATGACCAAAATAAACATGATTTACAAAAATATGACTCTTGACTAGACTAGTAATGAAATCATAGTAATTCATGTTCAAGTTTTGAGCCTAAGTTACCACAACACCACATTGTAGTAATGAATAGTCATATTTATGTAAATATATTTAATTTTAGTAATATTCTTGTAAAAAACCCTTCGGGTAACTACGTAAGTCATAAAAAGTTAGTTTAAATGAGACCCAGAGAATTATACGTTGATGTGCGCGTGCGCATGCGTGCAGTGGCGGAGCCAAAAATATATGGTCAAGGGGGCCGAGTTTTTAGAATTTTACATTGTCGGGGCCAAAGTTTAAAATACCAACATATTTATACATAATATATACTCAAGAATTTTTTTCTTGCAGGGGCCAAGGCCCCCTCTAGCCCCTACCTGTACATCTCCGCCCCTGCATGCGTGTGTGTGAGTGTGTGATAGTATATTATAAACTTTACGTAGATAATGAGTGAATAAGACATTATTTTCCAATTTTATGAATATAACAAATATTATGCATCAAACTTTATCAATTCCAAGTTTAGAAATGCTGATTTTCAGTCATAACCTTTTACACATAATCAGTTACCTAATCAAATTTTACTCCATCAATGTCCATTTAAAAAGGAATATTAAATACGGAGTATGCAAAGAAGATAACAGCTGATAAGTTCATTTTGTACTTATCTTTCTTTTCATGTTTTAAGGTGTTCTTGTATAAATTAGGGTAAAAAGAGACGCATTGTCATGCATTCTTGACTATTTTCAAGTTTACGGGTAAAATGATGCATCAAAAGTCTGCTTATTCTTTTTTGCTTCTTTTCAGGTTTATAGCTTCAAGAAAGTGGCATTTTTCACCAACAAATGAATTTCTAATGATATACTACCTCCGTCCCACTAATATTGGGACGGAAGAAGGTGGCACTATTATTAAGAAAAGTGAGTTTATGTGGTTGAATTGAATTGATAAAGAAAGAATGGTTAAGAGCCACACAAACTTTACCAAATATAATATGAGACAATCTTAGTGGGATTTCCCGAAAAGGTAAAATGAGACAATCTTAGCGGGATGGGGGAAGTATTAAACTTTGTAATTTTATTAGTTCTGCACAAAAATAGGCTGATGCTCCCAGCTCGCCTGCTCAAATGGGCTTGAGCACATATATTACTCACCGGGCCAGACCGGGCTCGGCCCGCAATAGCATATGGGCGGGCTTGGGTTAGGGTGTAGGCCCGTTCGTTCCTAGAAGCCCGGCCTGCTATATTTAGTATGTGTGCGTCGTATACATACACACACACACATATGGAAAAAGATCATGTCCAACTGGATACACAGGACCCTCCGTCCGGCCGCTGCCGTTTGGGTCTGTTCCCGGTCGAATTTTTTGATACAAAATTTTGAACATGTTATTAATAAAGTTTGGTTTATCTGTACCAAATTTTGGCTTAAAATTCAATCGGTCTGGCAAGGCAGTCAAATAATTTTGTGAAGATAACTGTGTTTTATATGTATATTTTGGCGCAGTTATCTTCAAAAAATTATTTGTCTTTCTTTCCGTTTGAACTTCAAGCTAAAATTTAGTGTGGAGAAACTAGACTTGATGAAGAGCATGCTCAAGCCCGACACGATTCAATTATATAAATACTCCGTATATTTTAGACATGCAAAAAACGGTCTACAGCCCGACACGATTTTAGTCCGTTGAAAGTTGAAACTATAATTGCAGAAACTACATATTCTATATATAAAATATATATAGGGAGAGGTTCCAGTGAAACAATAATTGCAGAAACTATACTCGATTCAATTATATAAATATATTTTAGACTTGCAAAAGAACGGGATAGAGCCCGACAAGCAAAAGGGGGCCTAAGAACAAGTCCATACTCGCCCGTAAGAGCGGGCTGGCTAGTCCACCGACCAAGTTGTCCAGCCTAGCTAGATAACTTTCAATTTTTCAAAATTATATAAAAAACTGTTAATACTTTTGAAATAGTATTACAACATTTAAAAAATTGTTAATACATTTATAATGTTTATAGGTCTGGCACCACATACAAAAAAATACTTACACAAAAATAATCCTGAGAAACTATAACTAAAACTTAAAATTCAAGCACAAAGAATTATCTTTAAGTATAAAAATAGATATTATATTGGTTGGACTATTTGTTAAGAACTAATTTTTTAAATTTATACGTAATAGATAGTTAATAGATAGTGATATTTGAAATTAGTAATTATGTTTAATGTGAGTGTATATAATTAATAGTTTTGCATAATTAATGTTAATTAAAATATATATAATTAATGTAGTAAATACGTAATTCAGAATTTTATGACAAAATCTGAAATTGTCAATTTTATAATTGGCTAAATAGCAATTTACGTAAAATTCAATATCATTTGAGAATACTCTACTTTATCAGAACTAAAGTAGATGATTTAAGTCAAGCATATTATGCATATTATGCACATTAATGAAAGAAATTTTAATATGATTATTAAAATTAATGGAAGAAATTTTAGTCTAGTCAATGAGGAATAAATTCAATTTTTTAATATGATTATTCCTGGAATAAATTAATGAATTTGGCCATGTTTTAGCTAAGACTTGGAAAGTAATTTTTGTCTTGTCTATGAGATTAGAATATATATAATTATAGACAAATAAATGAAAATAATTTAATTCTTGTTAATAAGAAAATAAATTACTAGTTCAATATTTCGTTATTAAAACTCCTAGTTAGTAGGGAAAAAAATATATTCATATCTTATGGTTCAATTCATTTCATATTTTAACAGCACTTAGTTCTTTCTAACTCTAGTCCATTTATGATGTTAAAGTTAGATTTTTTATTAATTAGTTTATTTTAGAGTCATCAATAATATTTCACAATTCAACTTACTTTTTCTTTCTTTTTTTAAATAAAGAAAACCACTATTAAAAAAGAAGAAGAGTACACAAGCAGATGATCACGGGTACTAGCTTAAAGCTAAAGCAAAACGAAACAACTAGCTCTACTGAAAGGAGAAAACATATGATGATAAGCAAGCAAAAAGAGCAAATTAATAGAACTCGATGAACTCCACTTGGGAAAACATGAGATCAATATACGGTGTGTGTTCTATATTGACTTGATAGTAAGTTTTATTAATGAATGTGTCTCGTTATTAATAAGTACTCTCGATGAATTCGAGATACTCCACGATTGAGTATTCGAGAGAAAGATAGTTAATATAACCAGGATCGACGAACATTTCATTAAGTGGATATAAGCAAAATCAAGTCTCAATCTCTATTTTATGAATCCACATAAGTCATTCATCTTAGTATTAAATTAATTAAATCAAATCAATCTTAAAAAACGTTTGTTACAATTTAATTAAAAGAAATATATTTCTTTCCATGTGAATACAGTCCTTACTTCACTATACTACGTATAAGTGTTGTATTGAATATTACTTTGAGGTACACAACGACTTTAGTGTCGTCAACCTTCGCGCGCGATTCTTCTTATACGCTATACCTGGGAATAAACTTTTTTCATTCAAAAGGGCAAAACTTTTTTTATTACAACATAGCGATAGCGGGTTATCAACAACCAACCATAGTTGCATTGATACATGAACATCTATAGAAATCAAAAGTGTTTGACAGTAGTTTTTCTAAACAACACTTGGTAGTGGTTTTATTAACTACAAAACATATTGTTTCTAACATTTATAATTTTACATGCATTCTTTATTTTTCTAATATAAAGAATTATTTGTATGTAGTTATTGCTCTCCTATGCAAGCAAATGAAGAAACGGTATTAAATGCTATTCAATTTTGTATGTTATTGAAACTTATGATATTTATTGAGCAATGAAATAACGCATCAAAGATGCACGCATGCTGTCACACACACACACATGTATATGTATGTATGTATGTATAAATATAATATAAATTGAATTTCAGCGTGAAGATTAAAAAACATTATTGTGCATTGCATAGCACATATAAAGACAAGGTCTTACTTCTACCATGGCAATATCAGGTTACGAGCTCAGGTTGTACATAGTGAAGTGTCTTTGATATGTGTGTGTGTATTGGATCACATAAAAATCTTTCTTCCCATGAAAAGTAGATATAAATCTGGTGCATCGAATCTAAGATCTAATGGCTCTAAATATGTCCAAAATGCTTTAAAATGGATTTAAAACGCGGTGGCATTTTGGTAAATAAATCAATTTTTTTTTCTTTGCAAAAAGTGGACTTCCTGTGTGCAAGTGTACTGTGGATGAGAAAAAATGGATGACGAAAATCATCTATGTAGAATAGTCCGCTTTAGATTATCAAAAGTGGAGACATTCTCATTTCTCATGGGAAGACCACTTTTTATTAGAACCGGACTATATATATACGGAGTATATGTGTGTGTGTGTGTATATATATATATATATATATATATATATATATATATATATATATATATATATATATTAAAAACTGATTAATTATGACTATAGATTTACACAATGTTGCCTGGAAGGAGAAGATTAAGTTTTACAACATTATGTATATGTCATACTTTTAATAATAATTCGATTTGATCATTGAAGTTTACCTAAATGTATCATAAACACCTTGGTCACAGAAAAAATATGAGCATAACACACAAGTGCATTCATGTATACAATGAGGCCTTTTGTATCATGAAATGTTGAACATTAGTCTCACATATTTTCATTATTTTACCATGTATTTTGATGAAAAAGTGATTTGATCACTCATATTTAATGGATGAAAGATATGTGTGTATTCTTATTTTTAGTGAGAAGTCTAGTTGTGCTGTTGTGAGTATATGCATATTTTACACTAAGATGGTTTTAGGGGTGGCCTAATAGGTGCAGATCTACAATAGGATTATAGTGTGTGAGCTAAAATCCACCATTCGCGTCCTAATTATTCTT